GCTGTCGCAAAGGGTAAGAGCTCCTTCTATTTTTACAGTATTCCATTGTCTCTATGAATGTCTTAAATGTTGTGTTTCCGTTTCAATTACAATCAGTCACACACACACATTTATGTTGAGACCTCGGGATAATGTCCTTACATTCACAATCACTATAAAGTGATCACTGGTGCAGCATGTTCATCCTACCATATTTCCCTGGTAAATTTACTCTCCACTTGCCTACACAATAGCTTACACAATATCCCCATTTATCAAACCTTGATCACCTTTTCCTTCCTCCCTCTCGAACGATGACATGCCTTATTTTACAGCAAAAACAGAAACAACACAAGAGGTCCCTACCCAAATCTACCCATCTTCTTGAACCTCTGCCCTCCACTGTGGTGGCTTCACTGTCCAATAGGTGACCTCTCAGTGCTTCCAAGTCTGACATCTATGTGCATACCCAGGTATCACCCCTTCCCACCCACCGGAGGACATCAGTCTTCCGATGTCTCCTCTCTCTCATTCCGTTTGTCCTTCTATGTTGGATCATTTCCATTAACCTATAAAGAATGCTTTTTAAAAACAAAAACGAAAAACCTCCTTCACCCCATTTTCCCATTTCTCCAGTCCCTTGTATATAGCAACTTTCTAGCAAGAGCTAGATGTGCTAACAAGTTATCTAGCCTCGCTGTCTCATGTTCTCTCTTGCTATGCTCTTGCTACTCTGTTCAATCAGGCTTTTGCCCCTCTCGCTCCAATGAAACAACTCTTGCCAAGGTCAAGAATGTGCTGCATTTTGCCAGATACAATGGTGAATTGTTAGTTCCCATTGCACTTGATCTATTAATAGCTGCAGTTTTTCACTCCTCCTTTCCTGAGACACTTCCTGTCGTTCATGCGACCAGTTCTCTCCTCCGCCTCATCGGCCTCTCCTTGTCAGTCAGCTGACTGCTGCTCATGGGTGCATCACCCGAGAGTGCACCAGGCCACTTCTCTTCTTCACCTTCACCACTCCTTAGGTGACCTCACAGAATTTCATAGCTTCAAATACTGCACGTACCGACAGTTCTCAAACTTATCTGTAGCCTAAAAATATATTTCCTTTGAAACCTAGACCCGTGCACCCCATATCATCGCACAGATATCCACTGGACAACCCAAATGTAACACGTCTGAACCTGAACTCTTGATTCTAACCCAACCTGCAACACCAACTCTCTTCCTCATTTCAGTAAACAACAATTCCATACATCCCCTTCCCGGGTATGAATGGGATCTTTAAATACGATGGGCTGCCATTCCCATGATTAAGTTACATTTTGTGGAAAAGGTGAAGGGACTTTGCAGATGTAATTAAAGTTCCAAATTGGCTGATTCTGACTTGCTCAAAAGGGAGATTTTCCTAGGTAGAACTGGCTGAAACCATCAACAGGGGGACCGAGCCCTTGGAGAAGGGAGAGGGTCTCCTGCCGCCCTTGAAAAAAGCCAAGTCTTGCTGTGAACTATCTGTGGAATGAGGTGGTCTGAAGGAGCTGAGGGCCCCAAGGAATTGAATTCTGACAATACCCAGGGGAGCTTGGAAGAAAACCTCTGTCTCCAACTGAAGGTGCCTAAAGTACAGCCTTGAGACACAACAGAGAAACCACCTCAGCAGTGCCCAGGTTTCCGACCTAAAGAAACTGTCAGATAGTAAATGGGTATTGTTTTAAGCCACTAAGTCTGTGGTAACTGGTTACACAGCAGTAGAAAACTGCTATGCCTTCCTCAACATAGAATACCACTCCCTCTGCTTTCTATCCTCAGAGAACTTGATATATCATAACATATAATATAAATATTTGAATTGTCCCTCTCCCACCTCTTTAAAATTTAAACTTCTTGAGGGCAAGAAATGTTGTCTTTTGTTTTTCCCCCCTTGTTGCATCACAGCACCTAAAATAGCGCCATGCACATAGTAGGTGCTCAATGAATATTTATAGAAAGAAATGTATTTGCTATTTACATTTATATCAGCACAGAGTGATCACAAAAATTTAATAGCATTTAACTTTTCATTTTCAGAGGTCGTTTCTCAAGTTAAAGTACAACGACTGTCCTTTGAGGAGTTTAATAGTATATTCTGAGAGACGCACAAGTTCTCAAATATAAAAAACACTAATTTAAACCAAAACCTTGTAAAACTATAGGGGAAAAATGTACACAAACATATGTTCACTGAAAATAAGTTATACTAAAAATAACTTCTGTATTTTGAAGGTGCTTCTAGATGGTTTCAGGAAAATACCATTGTTATAGTATGTCTTAATTTTAGCCACACTTCTAATGGATCCTTTTATGACATCCTTCTGAATAGTTAACATTCACTAAGAGGCAGGGGAGTCAATAGAATTTGGTTGTGGTTGAGCAACTATATCATAAAATACTAGTTAATTACTAGTCACTGAGACAGTGGGCAGTTTCTAACAGATGCGAGAGGCTGTCCTACTTGAACTGTTGAACGTGTTAATCAATGTTTTAAATAAAGATGTCAAAGGTTGGATATGATCACTTGCCAATCTGATAAACCAAACACTGTAACTAATATGACACACTGACAATCAAGAGTGAAATGTATGGTGGGCAGGCTGTGAGTCAAAACCAACAGATTCGTTATTATAGCGATAAATGTTAAGACAGAGAGAGTGTTAAAACACATGTTGCAGTTCAGAATTACGCTTGATAGCCCTTTAAATAAAAAAAAAAAAACCCACACAAAATGAGGTTTAGCCTAAGTGTTAGGTAATGCTAAATTCGCCACCAAAGCACATGGATATTTCACAAGGCAATGAAAACTTAGCCTGATTTAGAAAAAATATAGTGTGATTTGCAAAAATCACACCATCTTACTACTGTATTCCAGCCTGCTCAGACCACATGTGGAAGCCTGTACGTAAATATAGGTGCTACATTTAAATGAAACAATGTTAAACTGGAAGACAATTCCATGAAAAGAACTCTGAAGTCAAATAGGTTTTAGAGTAAATAAATTCCTTTCCTACAAGACTTTTCTTAGAATCTTTGATGTTAATGTTCCTTGTGATTTCCAAATAAGGTATGTGTGTGCATGTGCGTGTAATAGGTGGATTCCATGCGCACTGTTTCTTTACTTGTTTGAACATGGAAGCTTTCTTCATGGAGCATCTTGTAGGAGTAGTGACCTAAGCCACAAATTAGGAAAACCACCACCTAGACCCACGAGGAAAAAGATAACAGAAGCCGGTGCAGACTAAATGCCAATAAAGGTGAACCGGGATTATGAGAGGGATGTAGAACTATACTTTGAGAAGCACGGCTAGAGTTCCATGTGTTGTTTTGCCTAAGAAAAGAGAACAAGCCTTGCAAATATACAGATGGCTCTCAGAAAATGAGAAAATGCATTAGTCCTATATTGTTCTAGTACCTAGAGCAAAACGATATTTGAAGGTAAGGCTTGAAATATGCATTTCAACACACTCAAGAGACTTTTATTCAGAGAGACTGACAGTTGCTCTGAGGGCCAGAATTTGATCCCATAAGAGCCCAGAACAGGAGGTTAGTTGAATCTTCAGGAGGAAGATGAACTATCACAATGAAAGCTTTTCGGGTCCACAGGGGTGATAGTGGAGAAAGAGTGAGCTGAAGGATGTGCAGAGACCCGGTAAATATCCAGCAGGGACACTAAAGAAAGATTCCTGCATAAACCAAGTAGGAGGCCAGATGACTGGATTCTAAAGGCCACTTCCATCACCGCACACTCAGTGGACTAGACTGTGACCTTCACAGCCTCGCTCATCCCAGTATCTCAATGACAAACACAGAGCCCGGCAGAGTTCTCATAAATATAGGTGGACTGAAAGAATAAATGAGCAACTGAAAAATAAATGACAGGAGTTCCTGGTCCTAAAATCAAATGAGAAGAGAATGAACTACTTCACTCTTCGGGGATTGCAAAATACACTAATTGTGACTCATAATCAAGGCTACTTTCAAATGTAAGGAAAGCGGCTTTGTGGCGATTTCACTTCTTGACTGGGAATCAACCCTGAGTTAAATCACACCAAGGGTTGCTGTGAGGGTCCCCTGGTAGGCATGTGAGAATGTGCTGCAGGTTGTAAATGGCCATCAGAAGGAAGGGGTGATTATGGCAACGATAATCTACCCTGACAGACTAAGATAACGCAGAGGGCTGGAAACTAACCTTGAAAATAAACCTGCTTTTTACAGCCACAGCTCTGCAAATGATCCATTAAGCCATGTGCTTTATGTGTTTAATTGTCAAAGGGAGAACACGTGTAACTTATGTTAAAGCACCTTCAAAAATGTGACCGTATTCTGATTGACCTGGTAAATCAAGCTGTTTACAATTAAGTTTAAGCAGATTTCTTTAGTCTTGAGACACCAAATTCTTAGCAAAGAATATACACTGAGATGAACCTTAAAATTAGAAGTCCTTGAAATAGAAAGAGCTTCCATTCACTAGATACAAAGACTGTACTGCTGGGGCACCATATTTGTATCCATTTCCGAGAAGACTGAGGGCTCTTTCAAAATAGATATGTCATTTCTCCACAGTGGCTGATCACACCTGCCACTGAAAAATGTTCTGAGCAGGCAACTTGTCGTACAAGCACGGCTTATTTCTGACAGAGACCGACTGCTGAAGTGTGAAAGAAACTCATTAAAAATCTCTTACTGTGATCTTGCATTGTAAAAAAGAAAAAAGAAAGACTCAAGAATGAAAAGGCAAGGAAAAGAAAACTTAATGAAGGGTGCACTGAGCCCGCAGACACACTCAGATGGTGCTTTTCTTTCTTGCCGTTTCTCAGTAAGCGTCTAGAAGAGAGCAATTAGTCCCAGGAATACAGCGTACATTGGCTGTTTCGGGAAACCAGGTAAGTTAGCAATCTCATTTTATGCTAATACTAGGAAAAGTTCATGAAGATCAGAATATTGTGCTATAGGAAACACAATGCAGAATGAACGACATCACTTACCTTAATCTTAAAACGAGGTTCACGGCGCAAGAAGCTTCTCTGTAGTCCTCATTAGCATTGGGTAGGCCCTTTAGAAACAAAACAGCAAACAGTGTTATAAACTCAGGGAACAAAGTCATGACATCCCTTGTTCATACATACAGCCCTTTCTGGAAATTTCAAAACTACATCTTCATATGTGCTGGTCTCATTTAGCCACATGTCACCTCTGTGTGGGGGCTGGAATGAGGCTTCATTCCCATCACAGCTGTAAACACTGATATTTCATACAGGAAGCCTCAGCATAGCATGAGCCCTGTAAACAACTGGTTTAAGTTGCAACGAGTCCAAAGAAGGTGGCTCAGCCATCTAATCAGGCACCTTGCAACCAGAGCCCCGGACTGTTCCCCACTGGGCCATGGTGATGCACAAAGATTTCTTTGGGCACCTTCAACCTTAGGATGCAGAGGAAGGTGGAACCGAGCAGATCAGGCTGTTTATCTTTCCTGCCTTTCTCCCCTCAAGCCTATTTCCTTGAATACAGGTCACCAATCACGATGTCTCTACTACAGAGCCTATCCCTACTCCTATGAATCCCTGGGCATGAATAGACCTTCCTGCTAAGAGAAGAAAAATAAGGGATTTCAGGTCAAGCCTTGGCTCGGCCGCTGACCAGCTGTGTAACTGTGGGCAAGTCATTCTCTGAACCAATTTTTCCACCTACAAAATGTGGATAAACGCGTGCCTCAAAGGTTGCTGGGAGAACAAAATAATCTATATGAAAACTAGGCATAAACTGCAACACGTTATACAACACCAGCTATCCCAACCCCTTTTCCTGTTGACTCTCTTTGCCTTCTGCCTCATTATGCCTAACTTGCCGTTCATCATCCAACGGATCCCTACAGTTTATCTCCAGGTGTTTTAATGAGTTGCCTGACACAATGCAAAGACCTAAACGGAACCCTGTCCCTGCCTCTAACCAGTTGTGTGACCACTTAACCGCTGCAGATCTCTGCTTCCTCGGCTATAAAATAAGGGCCACGGACCGGATGTCTGACCTCACACAGGCTTCCTGTAACCATAAAATCCCACTCTGTCTCCTCAGTACACAGCTGATTCATAAAACACTGATCAGGTAGGAGGGAAATCAGTTTAAATGGATATGCAAACTTTGGGGGGAAATTTGTGATTCCTAAAGCTAGGGAGGCTTGCTGGTCTAAGCAGTGTGAGCTCAGAGGGCTTGCCCATGAATTCCACAGCGACACAGAAAGAGCACCCGCGCTCCGGCCCCTTGCCATCGCTCCTCACTGTCTGCTCGGCACTCTTCCCCTGCGCCCAACACAGCTCGTGGCACACATCTTAGGTCATATGATGTTTCATATAAATGCATTTCATAGTCACTGATTATTTTTACAAGGCAAGTTGCAGAGATAAACTGGCCCATAAAATTCAATGATAAAAGAATTATGAACACAGGTTATAGAAATCCAACTAGGAGCAAAAAAGAAAAGCATCAATTAACTAAAGTGTTTTGTGGCTGGAGTCTAACAGAACGGTGAGTCATTTTCTTTCCTTTTCTCATTTCACACAGTACCAGCAATTTCAGAGGCAGTCTGGTAATCAATTCTTGCTCTTGAACCCATCATTTAAAGGTTGGAGGCCCTGAAAATCACAGTCAATAGTGACAGTATTCTTTTCTCCATACCCATTAAAAACAGAGAGTTTACAAGCCCCCGATTTGGAATCACTACCCTGAAATTGTCTCTCTCTCTAAAGTGTTCATTTTTCTAAAAAATCTGTTCACAGAGCGTCTCAAACATAAATGACTGGCGGAGAAACATACCTGAGAGTCCTGCACAGAAAGGGACTGTATCTGCTCGGGGATGCTGCTGGCATTCACCGCAATCTGTTAAGAGAGCCACCGTTACAGCACTTAAGGAAACCAAAATGAGACATTAGGGTCAGTGTGGCTACATGAAGTCCCAATTACCAGAGGCAAACATTTTCAATAATTTAAGTAATTTTAAAGCAGTAGCTCCCAAAGTGTGACCCTTTCACTCTCTGCATTGGAATTACCTAGGACACATATTAAAGGTTCCTGGACCCCACCCAGACTAATTCCGAATTTCATGGAGACTGGAAAGAACTGGATCTTTAACAAGTGCCCTGGGGGCGCTCCTACAGAACCACTGAGCTAAAGTGAAAGATATGGGCTAGTTGATATGTTAAACTCAGTAACAGAAAGATGCCCCAGGACTCTTTTTCTTCTCCCATAATTTCATCTAAGTGAAGGGCCTCCTAATGAAAGGATGTTAGAAATTAGTAAAACCTGCCCCTTTCATGATTACTGTGAACAATTTATTCGCTGGATTTCAAAAATATAAAAGGGTGGTTTGGTTTTGAAAACATTTTCTCGAACAGAAATGCCAGAGTGACAGGCTCTATATTTCTCTCAAAGTTGGAAACCTGACCCTAATGTGATACCCAAAATATTCTGGCCTCAAGTCCTGCTTTGGTGAACTCTGCCCTGAACAAAAATTGAAAGACAAAAAAACTCAAAGAGGAACAGCAATGAAAAAGAATGAAAAGGCGTTTCCATTTCTAAACTTACTATCAATTCTTTGTACCACAAGCTTTCTAAAGGTTAAGGGCATAGAACTCTTACTCTCTGTGCTTCCTCAAAAATAACTATGTCAGTAATGTAGTAGTAGGGGAAAGGGTCTGGATGTCTGCAGTTTGCTTTGAAATGTATCACAGAATGAAGACAGACTGATGGACGAATAGATACATGTGCATGTGACAAAGCAAAGGTAGTAATGGTAGGATCCAGGTGACAGATATGTGGATGTTCACTGTTAACATGCTTTCAATGACCCTATACTTTTGAAAATTTTCATACTAAATTGTTGGGGGGAAATGACTACATTAGAACAAAAGACCTGTGTTCATTCACCAGCCAGAGGGCCTGGGCCTGCACCAAATGATTTCTTGTACAGAATCTTTCAGGCCGAGTCCATAGTCTTAATTAAGGTTTGAGATACAACCAAAAGATACATCAGCACTTCCAGAATATCCTACCTTTAGTTAAAGAACCACTGTAATCTGAAAAACCCTAATGGCATTTACTAGAGGTGACAACTTCTCTTTCCTGAGGAGCCCCCTTATTCCTGGGCGATCGGCAGGATGGAAAGACAGGTGACTGGGTGGGGGCTGGAACCCCATGCACTCCGTAACCTCACTCGCTGTGCAGATGTAACCACACATGTAAAGACGGGACCAGCCTCAGGCTCCAGCTGGTTTACAAGCAATGCGGGTAATCCCTCTGAAAATGTGCAGAGATGCACAGGAGTGGTGGATAGGGAGGTTCCCCATACAAAACACAACAAACTGTAGTCCCCAAACTTCACCATTATAAACTCCATTCTATCTGTTTAGGGCATGCCTTTGGGGCACACATTTTTACATGTAAACACGTACAAGAAAGCTAACACATTAAGCAGCTGCCATTCATCAACAGTATAAAATAAATTTCTCTATTGGAGTTTTTATGCTGTTAAACAGTTTGCTTATAGGAACATTTGAGAGAATGGTGTTTTGATAGGAGGGGGAAAGAAAAAAATAATAGATTAATATTGGACATCACCCTGGAAACAGGTGTGAAAAAGGGAAGATCCTGGAATGGAGAGAAGAAAGGGACAGGGTCTGCTTTCCAATTTTTCATAGAACTCTACCTAACCTTCTGGTTTTCTATTTTTAAAGTTACTGTGGCTAAATGCAATCTGTTATCCTGGAGCAGATCAGAGAAATGACGTTAGTGTGCAAACTAGTGAAATACGAATAGTCTGCGGGTTAGTTGATGGAGATGTAGCCCTGTTGGTTTCCTAGTCATGACAAACATACCAGGGTTACATGATAAATTAATGCCATGGAGGAACCTGGGTGAGAAATGTATGGAAACTCTGGACCACACCTGTGCTACTTTTCCATAAATCTAAGATTATTCCAAAGTAAGAGATTTCAAGAAATACAGAAGATTTCTGATCACAAATCTAAGTTTTATCACAACTAGTCGGAAAGCCAATCACCTGCAATGAGAATACCATTTAAAAAGTGGTATCATAAAAATATCGAGCTAAAGCCATCTGTGATTTCAAAGGCTAAATATAATAAATTCAGAGAGAGAAATCAAATCTTTCCCTCCATCTACAAATATATATATATATATGTATATATATATAAACAGGTATGAGAGCTAACAGGCACTTGAAAAACACAGTGTCATCAGAAAAAAAAATTTTAAAAACTAGAGGCAGTTTTGATAATCATCAGGCATGTTACTCAATGGAGTAATATAAGCAATAAATTTAGCTTTCACATTGTGACTAACCTCTAGTAAGATGAACTCAACCTAAATCCACATTTTCTCTCAGAATAAAATGTAAGAGTTGAGAAACAGAACATTTACACAATTAACTTAGCCTAGACACTGTAACAAAAGTCTTTAATATGCCTCTTGTGCACACTTATCACTGGTGTCTTTTGTGTGTCCAAATTTCCTCTTCTTATAAGGACACCAGTCAGATTAGATTTGGGCCCACTGAGCACTCACAGAGGAAATATCTTCAAGGACACAGTGAGAAGACAGCTATCTGCAAGTCAAGCAGAGAGGCCTCAGAAGAAACCATACCTGCCAACACCTTGATCTTGGACTTCTAGTCTCCAGAGTTGTGAAAAAAAATTGTTGAGGCCCCAAAACACACACACACACACACACACACACACACACACACACCCCACATCCCCCATTGGCTGCTGGCTCTCTCCTCTAAGCTCCCAAGTTATCTGTGCACATCACCAGTACAGTACTCATTGCCTCACAAGGATTATTGATANCCACCTGGCTTCATTACACTTGATTAAATAAGGCCAACTTTTTCAAGAGATTTCTGAAACATCAACATTTTCTTTCCTTCTTTTTTTTTTTGAAATTCCTGATAGATTTAAAACAAATCTTCAGGAATTTTGAGCACACAATTCCTAAATTCCAGTCTGGACTTTTGGATTCAGAGGGATTGGTGGGTTTTTCCTATTCACTGGTCCTTGATTCTAGCTACGCATCAGAATCGTGTGAGCACCTTTTCAAAAATCAGAGTCGTCTGGCCCGGCCGGGCATGGCTCAACAGTTAAGAATAGATTCCGCAGGTCCCGAGACTGAGGTTCAATTCCGGGTCAGGGCACATGCACGGTTTACAGGCTCAATCCCCAGTAGAGGGCCTGCAGGAGGCAGCCGATCAATGACTCTCTCATCATTGATGTTTCAATCTCTCCTCCTCTCCCATTCTCTCTCTGAAATCAATAAAGCTATTTAAAAAAAAAAAAAAAATCAGAGTTGCCTGGACATCACCCCAAACCACCAAATCATAATCTCAGGGCTGGGCCTAAGCATCCACATTTTTAAAGCTTTCAGTTTTTCTGATGTGGAACCTGGGTTGCAAACCATTTGCTTTCATGCCACCTAATGGAGGGGCTGCCATAAAAAGAATGCTTCTTTCATAGAAGCCTTGCAGATGTCTTCCTCGGTTAAATGAAACCAAAACAAACTGTGAATTTAAATACAAAGTCAATTTCACTTTCATACAGGAAATTCAGGCATAAAACAAAATGAGTCTAGATACAGTGAAGTGCCTAAGGCTGTCAAACCCCACTCAGGAAGGTGAACAGCAATACTTGATCAACTGAGAACATGCTATACGTTACTCTCTCCTGTCTATGCAGAAAATACTCTTGCCAGAAAGAAACAGGAAGTATTCAGTGAATATTACCCAATGAAGATATCCCTCAGTGAACCAAGATCGAATGCTTTTTGGGTCTATGGTGCCACTTGAATGATGTTTGTTCTATTTCTTAGTAGAACTGACAATTTTAGCTGGAGATACTCTAAGAAATAGATGAAAAACCTCAACGCTCAACTTTACTCTGGAGAAAATTGCAAAGTGGGCAAGAAGGCAGAGTTCACGATACCTGGTTAAGATCATTCTAAATGCCCAGCACGTCTGTGTAGTCAACGTGTCCTACTATGGACACCAACGTGTCACCATCGTTACTAACTCATGGGATAACTCTCTTGACCAAAGCTTATATTTCATGTATAAAATGGAAAGATAAATTCGTAAGATAGGAGGAAATAGGATCTGAAAGAGAGTCACCCATAGGAGGCAGGCAGACTGAAAAATCCTTTGACAAGGCCTATTGATGTGGCATGAGGGTGAGGCGAAAACAGAGGAAGGGGACAGTAATGGGGGAAGGCAGGGCTTGTAGCCTGATGCTCTTTTCTTAGAAGGTCCGGCTGGCTACTGCCACCTAAAGCGGAATAAGATTTACTCCATTTAACCAACAGAAAATGTCCGCTAATTTTAAAAAGCTGGGATGGATTCACTTATAACCCAAAGTCTTCAGTCTCCTTAATGAGACTTTATCAAGGCACACATTAATTACTAGGCCTGTAAAATATTTGGAGCTATTTAAATATGCTCAAATTTCCTCTAGGAGAAACAGCAAGTCCTCTGCACTACAGTCATCATTAGCCATTAGGAATTATTAGGATAATTAACCAGATGGAGGAAGTAAAGTTAATCAAAAGATGACCAGGTCTCAAAGGGAAGCTGATAGAAGAGTGCTCCTCACCTACTCAGTTACCCAGGAGATGCTAACCATATCAATATCTTCCTTTATCGAAAAGTATAAATCGAAAAGAAATTTTCCCCGTATGCCTACTATGTTTTCTAAATGACAGTAATACCAAGAGTTAGGATTAACTGTGTTACGAGAGCATACTAAGGACTCCACTGAGTGCTTCATGTAGGTGATTTCATCAGTCCTCAGGGTAACCTTATAAAAGCATAGTGATCATCGCCATTTGACAGGGGGGGAAACTGAGACTGAGGGCGTAAAGTAATCTGCCCCAATTTACATAGGACAGAAGTAACTCAGAATCGGGACGTGCAGAGCCTGTGTTCATTTTCTTTTTTTCTACTACTGCATAAGAACAGTATTTTTTCAATCTCTTCCTCAAATGAGTCAAACTTTGATACTGCAGAGGTGGGAGAGAAACTGAATTGCAAAAAAAAAAAAAAAAAATTAAAAATCAATAAAGAACCACCACTCACCTCTGGATTCTCTTCCTTTACTCTTCGTGACTGTAAAAGAAAATATGTATCCATTAATACACACACATACAAAAAAAACGCAAAAATGAAATTTACACAGGTAAGCTATCATCATCAGTGCCATTTACCTTTTCTTGAGAAAAAGCTGCTTTCCCTTCTTCACTTTTTTCATCCATCTCGTCGTCACTCCACTCCCAGTCACCGTCTTCGGTTTTGTGAAGGTGACCGCTTGATCCAGGAACTCGTCTTACCTGAATATGAAAAAAAAAACAACACCAATTCTTCATGGGTCGAATGTGAACAGTGCTCCCTGGCACTGCTGCCCGGGTGACACAGCATACATCTACCCTGCAAATAACCTAAGTGGCTATGAACTCAGGGATCACTAGCAGCTAATACCCAGACACACTACACACCTCCAGACACCCACACGCATCCTCCAAAGATACTGTGTTCTTGACATGCTTGACTGTGAACGTGAAGAGCAAAATATTTTGGAAGAATATCACACGCATCGCCCACTGAGGATCAAGTTCATTTTTAGCTTTTGCTTCAGTTAACACTTTATTAATTACTACACATAAACGGCCACATGGTGGGCTTCTCAATCGCCTAGGGAAAGGCACGCAAGCAGCAGACTGCTGACAGGGAAGGCAGGGGCCGAATGAAGCTACTAGTCCAGAGGCATCAGCGACCTAAAACCAAAGTCAGGAAAGCAAATGCCCTTCTGTTGCCACCTTGCTCTTTCTCAGGCCTGGCACCGTGCTTGTTTTCCCAGGATTCTGCTCAACCTACTTGAGCAAAACAGCATCTGGCTATTCTTAACACACCTTGCAGCACACTTTGAGGCGTGCGGGACTGCTAGGAACACGGCAAAATAAGCAGCCATGCCAGATAATCTAAAAAGATTATAATCAGCCTTCTGTAATTATTTCAATTTGTGTGGGGTTTTTTGTGTGGTTTTTTTTTAACTAGGGAAGAGATGTAATCCATGGGACATGCTTTCCAAATGTCTCTGTAGTTGAAAAAGCAAAACTTTTTAAAAGGATAGGATGACTGAGAATGATGAGCTTCTGACCAAAGTCATTTGCCTTAAAAGAAAAAAAAAGAAAAAAAAAGAACTGAGATGTAATTAAACAAAGCAATGTAGCACATGAACATGATGTGACAATAACAGCCAGTGATCCACCGGCTCAGAGAAACTTCAAGTGGAAAGAGACCTTGGAGACTGTCTGGTCCAACCCCTCATTTTACAGATGAGAAGACAAAGGCCCAGAAAGTGGCCCAAGACCACAGCTACAAGGGCAAAATGAAGGCAAGAAAAAAGCCTTCAGACTCCCATTCAAATGTAAGAGTCTCCTTATGCCATTGAATGGTAACTGTGAAAAAGAAGTTGTCTAAAAATGTCCTGTGAAGATTTTGAAAGACTATGAATGTGAAGAAAGGCTATGTTCCATAACAGAAACTTCTGAGTTAAATCACAGGAGCTTCACGAATCCCGAGGGAAGCACCAGAACTTATATGTAAAGCAGTTACACACATCCAATCCATGTGATGTCACAAACAACGAAGGCTCAGGGCTAGGTCTGATTTTAAGGCACTGCCATGTAGAAAGTAAGCTTGACCATTTATCTAGAAAGATCTGAGGTCCAACACAGAAAGTTTAAAAAAAGAAGAAAGTTGAAAAGCAAGTAAAAAGTTCTTACTCATAATTGCAAACAGTTATGCTCAATTTAAAAAGAAAAAAAAAAACTTTTTCTCCACCTCTGCCCCCTAAATTTTTTTAACTAATTCTCATTCGAAACACTTAGCACTTAGTAAAACCCCTTCTGTGCCTGGCGTCAGCTATTTTTTCCACTTGCATTCTGAGTCACTGAAAAGACCTATTCTAATGATAGTGATTTTAATGGTGCCTATAGACGCTGGCAAAGTACGGCAGAAAAAGTGCTGAAATGCACTTCAGTATTTTCAGAACAGATTGTTCATTTTAAAGCTACAAAGAAATGGAGAGGAGAAGAGAAAATAATTTTCTGTTGACATATACAATAAAATTAGTAATTTTCTTAACAACATTAATCATAAGAGCAACATAGAAGAAAATCTGTTAATGACTACATTAAAAGGAAGAATTTAAAGCCACACCTATCACAAAAGGAATTAACTGAACAGTGAGAAAGCAAATAAAATTACGTTTTGGAAACAGAACAAAGCTACTTTTACTGAAATTGTAAACCCAAGTATGGTTAATGAATTAGTATTCTTTAAGTACTCATCTAAAAGATTATACCAAGGAAATCTAGCTCTTTCTGACTCAAAGATAGTGCAGCCGCAACACCCTAGAATCTAGTTTATGCTCCTTTTTCTCTCACGCTGTTTATAAGATCTCTCAGTTTTATTTCTACGAGCAGGATCCAACTACAGACTATAAAATGCCCATCATCTATGTCTATGTTATTTTAGAGCCCTGGCTGTCTCCCTCTTGGTTTTATTTGCTGGAAGAGAAAAAGATAAAGCAAAATGTCCAGGATTATAAGGCTCACACACTGAAAGAAAGGGTGGAATGGACCTTTAAAAGTATAAATAATGGTTGACAAATAAATGTAGAAGACAAAAAAAATTTTTTTTAAATCTACTTAGCATAAAATATTGGCATAACAATGGCGAGAACAAGAACACAAGTGTGGTTGCTGCACGATTTGAAAGCCAGGTGTGGCCGTGTATTCATGTGACACTGACCTCTACTGAAGAGGCCAGAGAGCCAGTTTACAAAGTTACATCCTTGCGGGGCGTGTGCAGGGTGGGCAGAAAACAAGGTCTACCTTTTAGAGCCAAGGCAACTAGGGTTCACCCAGTTTAACACCTGGGGTTCTTATTTAGGAACCGAAGACTATTCTACGGAGTGAAAACTTCAAAACAAGACGCAAAGGCTGGTGCCCTCCCCGTCCCTACACTAAGGGGAGCGGAGGTTTTCGCCTCAGAACTCTGGGTCATTGTTACATCGCTCCTTAGCCTAGTAAATGATTTACTCACTTAGCAAAGCCAAGAAAGCGGCGGTAGACTGAAATTTTTTCTCTCTTGCGAGTTTAAAAATATAATCCAATGATTTTGAGAGAAACGAGCTCAATTTAAGTGATCGCTAGAGATATTCACAAACCCACAGACTCCTCAGGTCACAGCTGGCAACGGTGAGGTTTGAAAAGTTGAACCTGCAGTAACATTTATTCCCAACACCGGGAATAAAATACAGCTGAGCGGTTCTATTTCTATCCGAAAAGGAAAGTAATATTTTCTTTCCTTCCTCGAAGCAGCATCTTTATGAAAATCCACTAAAGAAATGAAGTCCTTCCTGACTCTCCCAGGAGGAGGTCAGGCTCCGACAGACAGGGCCTGCGGTTCCGACCAGTCTTCCCCACCTGTGCCCCTCTGAACAGGAGCTTCCTATGAGTATCGCGACCAGGATCGCTAGGCACGGTCTCAGGTCGCCACCTGCCCCGACCCCAGGCCAGGAAGAACGCGAAGGAGAAGGTGGGAGAGCCCGCGATGAACTTCCATACAGGGTGTTAAGTGCTAGAAATGGAAGCGTGTTTTCCTGACACACCCTAAACAAGGGATAAAGGTGATTTCTTTGTTGCTGTTGCCCGTTTAAAGATTTTACTGCCGATCCCAGGAAGTAAAAAAACAAAGACATACTGACCACGATTTAGTAGCACCTGTCCAGCAGCACATGCCCACCTCCACCCCCTGCTCCTTCCAAGGCAGCCGCCAGCAGCCTCCGCTGCCTCATTAACTTCTCCCTGGAGGTGGGATTTCAGCATCTCCTTGGAATGACTGTCCCCTCACTGGGAACCCTGCACCCCGCTTCCTCGCTGGCTGGACAGGCCGCGTGCAGGACTGCAGCGTGTGCCCGAGGGACCCGGGAAGCCCACCCCCACCTCATGTCTGCCCACCGAGGGCGGGCTGGGCGTGGCAGGAAACAACGCCCAGTAACTTTTCTCTTATCAGGTGTTCTACTGACCGCAAGTACAAAACATGTTTCTAATCAATTGCCATTTTAATGCCTTGAGGCACTACCAAGCAAACAAAGTTTCCTAAATCATCAAAAACTGAGAAATAAAAATAGACCCAGTGAGGCTTTAGCAGTAAACATTTTGCTGTCCCGTATCTTACCCTCTGACACTGCTCCGGTGACCATCACCTCTGGCACCCCCATGGCCACCAAATCTGGCACCTCCGTCCCATACCTACTGCCCAGCCTCACCGTGCTCTTCACCCCCCCTCCCCGACCTCTTCTGTCTCTGCTGGCTTCAACCCCCTCATATAAGATCTGGAGCTCACAGCTGACTCTCCTGATGCGGCACTTAATAGGACACCCCATGCCCTGTGCCCTCACTGTTCAATCTACCCCTGGGAGGAAAGCCGGGGCTCGGCCCAGACATCCCTTCTGCATTCCTGAACCAGTGGAGACAGCCACGCCGCCTGGTGCCATTCCAGATGACCACCGGCCACCCCTAGCTGGGGCCTTAGTACTGCTACAACCCTGCCACCCCAAGGGTGGTTCCTGGACCAGCAGCAACAGCATCAGCTGGGAGCTTGTTAGAAATGCCGACTCGTGAGCCCCACCCACGCCAGACCCACTAAATCCCCAGGTGACTCATATTCTTATGCAGGTGTGAGCAGCACTGTGCTAGACAACACTTTCGCTCATTGTTAGCCCATTCCTCTCCCCAGCCCCAAATACCAGCAGTTGTCAATACAACGATAATTAACCACACCCTGAGCACTTTAAATATATTGGCTAATTTAATTTTCTCAGTGGCCCTGTGAGCTGACAATCATTTTATTACCCCATTTTTCAGAGGGAAAACTGAGGCGTGCCCCACACTGGCTCAAGCTCATACAGCTGGGAGAGACTGCTAGGAGTCTGACCCCAACTCTCCATGGCCAGCCTCTGCCTGTTACTCACGGGAGAGCCAGCCCCAATCACGCCGAATAACTTCACATGGTACCCTGAGAGCAGCAACTTGCCTTCTGTTCCTGATAAGCTTCCTCACGCTCTCCACGCTCTTAGCCTCTTTCCCTCCCATGAGGAAACTGGATTCCTTTTCCTTTAAAGACCAGTGACTCCAGCTGTGCTCACTTATCTACTCGTTTATTCTTTCAAGACACTGCCAACCAGGCCCTGGGGCTCCTCTACATCCGTCCTAACATAATCACGTTTAATTCTCTTATACCTCTATGCGCAAGGGGGGTG